ATGTTCTAAAGCAGCAGGCTTGCTTGTGTGTGTGTGTGTGTTGGGGGTGGTTGACTGGGTCTAATTTTTTTTCCCACACAGGGGAGCCATCACAACCCCCATTGCGGTGTGGAGCGCACCTGGCTGGCCACAAAATGGAGCAACGAGGAATCAGTGAACAGGCCCTGTGGGATCTGGCTGCAGGATTCAAGTCCTGCAGCCTTCTTTGTGTGTGCCAACTAAACATTTGTAGCACTCCTATGTAAAAAAAAAAAAACTGTATAAAACCTCAAACTCAACACTATTCCAGACATTTTGAATTGAAAAAGCTTCCTGGATGGGAAGCGAAACGGCTTAAAGTACAAAGCCCAGTGGATTGTTTTTATTTTATTTTATTTTTTTTTTGAATGACTATGACCTGACTGAGAATCTTCACCAGCACATTCCAAGAACTCGAATGGTTCAACGCCAAAGCTTAGCTGCATTTCTCTGCACAGATGCTGCTGCACTGTTAGGACCAGACAGTGATTTAGGTTGAAATTACAGCAGGAGAATAAATGGGTCATGTAAGGGAAACTGGGCAAAGACACAGAGTAGGACAAAAGGCGCTTTCTTGAAATCGAACAGAGGCTTAAAATAAACTGAACCAACTTTTCTAATAACTGATGTCCGGGATAACATACAGTTCCCTGCATCAGTACTAACACTCCTACCATTATGTCTAGGGATGCACAATATAATCGGACCCCTATCGGTATCGGCCTGTATCGGCCTTAAAACTGAATATCGGACATCGGCCACCCCACCGATATTTAACCCGATATTTGATCAGCTTCTGAGTTTCTAAAGTCTAAAAAAAAAAATATATATATATATATATATATATACTACCGGTACTTCTTCTTCTTCTTCCTCAAAAACTTTTTTTACAGACTTAAAAACTTCTAAAGACGAGGGAAAAAATATTGATACATTAAAATATCACAATATCTTCGTATGCTGATATATTGCCATTTAAAAACACCATATCAATCTCTTTTACTAATGAGATATTGCTATATGTCATCGTTATACTAACAAATCACCCGAAAATTCACGAAATGTTGCCATATTTTTATATGTTGATATATTGACGCGGTATCGATCTATTTTACTAACAAAATCTCACAAGAATTTGCAAAATATCACGAGAGTTTGTAACAGAACGATGAAATTTCACGAGATTTTGAAAGTAAAATAGATCGATACCGCGTTTTTAAAAATCAACTTGATATCAGCATATGAAAATATATTTGAGTATATTATTTTTGAAAGTGTCAGAAATGGATAACAAAACTGCTATTTTCAATGACTACTTATTTTTGTCCAGCTTTAACATCAGTATCGATATCGGTTATCGGCTACATGAGTTTTAAAATATCGGCATATCGGATATCGGCCAAAATCCCAATATCGTGAATGCCTAGTTATGTCACATTTTCAACATAAATTTAAATGCACTTTTAATGGTAGATCAACAGAAAATAGTGTTGATTGGGAGTGGAAAGAAATCAAGCAGAAATAGCTCAAACTATTTGAGGCATCGCTCTATAAGTTTTGTACTTCTCCACCAATGAATGGTAATAGATCAAAACTGCTCTAGCTTATTCAGACAGTAGGCAAGGTGTCAGTAAGCATGAGGTTTTAAGTCTGTAGAGTTTTAGCGTTTGGCACAGTCAGTCGGATAGAGGAGGCTGAATACGAATAATAAACAATCCTTTCAGACTTTCACTGTAGAAAAGTGTTGAAAACCAGATATCTTCTTCCATTAGTGTCAGAGTTAGACCTTCATTAGAATACATGAAGGTTTGTTGCTGCCCATGGTAAAATATGAGGCATTCTGAGCTGGAAGAAGATGTTAGGGGTCAGTATGAGGTTGGTTTCTTATAAACCATTTGATGCTTATTGTTTCAGATACAAAATGAATTCTTCCTTAGAGGAGTTTAGCTCCTACTCTTATTAAATTTCTTATATTCACAGAGCATTACACCCCATAGATACCAAGACTTTCTCTAATTACCACCTACAATCAGGGCACTATTTACTGTACGGCTAAAGTATCTCTGTTTGCACTGAATTGCTCTGCATTACTTCTATGAGATTTACAGTTGTTATTGGCTTTCTGGCAGTTCTCTGTAAACATCAACATTATTTTTATACCCTTTAGGACGAATAAGACTAAAAACGCCTCGCATTACAAAAACTGCTTCCACTGGAAATAGCGGGAAGATCCTTTCATACCTCAATTTAAGAGCTCCATTTCTATATTTCATGGAAAAACTCTAAAGGCAAAGACGGTGCTCAGCCTCCCACCAAGCATGCCCCGTCATGAGCAGAATTTAAAAGAAGGAGTTGCCATTTGTTCTTTTTTATTGCTTTTTGCTCTCTCATCTCTATTTGTCATGCCTACCTTGTCTATATCTAAGCCACATTGAAGTTAATCACCGAAAGAGGAAATGCAAAAGGGTGTGTGGCTATATCAGTTAATCTGTCTACATGTAGTAGTTAATCTCTTTTTGGAAAGCTACTTAGGCAGCGAGGCCTGAGACGATAGGTCCTGTAAACTGTCCCAGGCGGATTACATCTAGGAATGGGACACCTATATTTCCTCGTGCAGCTGATTCCAGGTGACTAGAAGGGTGTGTTCAGGATGTTTGCCCTTTGTTACTCTGAAAGGAGCATGTGCTACTTTACGGTCATTGAGCAGCAAGAATCCAGGTCAAACTCTGAGAGAGGAAGTAATGTACCTTTGGTTAATGATTATTTTCATTACAAAAGAAAATGTTTTGGTTTATTGTGTTTAACTAGCCTGTACAATATGTATAAAAATCTCTCTCTATATAAAACATACAGTTGTAACAGAAACTGGAGCAGTCCAAAGGTTCCTAGGTCCACACTGAATGTGTTATAACCGACACTTGGGAAAAGCACATCTTATCTTGGCTGTGTATGCAATACAAAAGGATTGTTACCTATTTGCATTCAAGGGGTTAAAATAAACAAAAAACTCTCCTAACTATTGTTCAAAATGCTATTGTTTAGTTTTTATTTGTTTTTTTAGGGAAAATGTTTCTGTTATAAGGTTTTGTTTTAAAATCAGTGCAAAACTACAACCATCTGGTAACAGCTTACTTATCTGCAGGAGGAAAACAAGGTATCAAATAAAACTACTGATAAGTATAAATAATCTATAGCTTCTATGAAAAAGCAGGCTTTATTCAGGTAGTCTTTAGTAATGCATATTGTATATTAAGGTGGTGATAATGAAGGTGAATAATGCAACAATGACATCAGTTGTGATGTATGCCTCCTTTCTCATCTGTGCTTCCTACAATATGAGCTTTAGCATTTTGGAAAATGCTAAAGCCGAAGCATCTGCTGCCTATGAGACTGTCCTTCTACCTAAATATTACATTTCTAGTTAGTGGTTCAACCTTTAAAACCTTTTCTCATAATGACTTTTTTACCTTTGGCCATAATTAGACCAAGTAGCTGTCATACTCTGATGTTTACATCAAATGATTACCAATTGTTTAGTGTTTATGTTTTAGAACATGAACTTATCTCCATATTGGCTCTACTGGTACAACTGAGTCCCTTTTTCTGTGAAACCCAATGAAGTAGGCATACTTGCTTATTCACCAAGGGCTACAAAATATTGTGTAGTCATGAAATCAACTTATAAAAAGTTACTTAATATGTTAATGACAAAAAATACCTATGGAAAGCCTGAATTTGGTTTATAAAAAGACATATTCTAGATATTTTCTGTATTATATTGGGATTAGACAACACAGAATAGTGCAACTAGGAATGCATTCATTTTAATCCCCCTTGGGTGAAAACTGAAAGGAATCCTTTAGCATATGCCTCTATCAGTTTGTTGTAAGCCAGTGGTCTCCAACCCTGGTCCTCAAGATCTACTGTCCTACAGATTTTAGATGCATCCCTGCTTCAACACAGCTGAATCAAATGATTGATTACCTTTTCAAGCCATTCATTTGATTCAGCTGTGTTGAAGCAGGGATGCATCTAAAATCTGTAGGACAGTAGATCTTGAGGACCAGGGTTGGAGACCACTGTTGTAAGCCATTCTTTTTGCCAGATAGCTCCAGCCCAATCGGACTGGGTCAAGGTCGACTGTTAACAATTATTATCAAGCTTTGGCCAAGATCGTTAGCTTTACATCTAGTTTTGTATTTGTGGTGGAGGTTAAGTCCTCTTCTCTTGTCTATTTATTTATTTTTGTATATCAAACCAGTCTTCTTCCTGTACTGCTTTGTATTCACTATTTATCAATCTTTTATCAGTCAATCAATCTTATGATGACGGAAGAGATCCCCATTCCACCTGAAGAAAAGCCTCCCAACATCATAATGCTGCCACTACCCTGTTCCACGGTGTGGCTGGAGTGATTCTGGAGTAATCTGTTTGATTTTAAAACAATAATACCTTAGCCCAGGCATCCCCAAACTCGGTCCTCAAGGCCCCCTGTCCTGCATGTTTTAGAGGTTTCTCTGCTTCAGCACGGCTGGTTATAATGATTGCAGTAGACCAAAAGCCTGTTAATCAGCTTTCAATTAAAATCAGCTGTGCTGGAGCAAGGAAACCTCTAAAACCTGCAGGACAGGGGGCCTTGAGGAACGAGTTTGGGGATGCCTGCTTAGCCAACACTTTTACTTTTTCCTTTCCTTCAAAAAAGAATTTGTGGATTTTATATACTGGTCATGTTTAAAGATTTTTATACATGAGGCTTGGATTTCTGCAGCTGCCCCTAATATACCATTGGCCTATTTTGATTGTCTTATCTCTGTTTTTAGTCTTTTCAATGGTAAAAGACTAAAACAAATCAACCATTGAAATCCAAAAGCATTAGTCATCCTTAATCTAACTATATGGGACTTTAGAGGTCAGCTTAGTAAAATAGAAGGAGCAGAGAAGTCTTAAACTTCCCTAACTCAGATGCTGCTTCATGGGCTCACCTCTCCTGATTTCCCAGATCCTGCAGGAGTGTGTCAGCATATTTCTGCCTCTCACTAGGCTCCACATTGGACAGTTTCTTCACCTCGCTGCGTACAAAGTACCAGAACTCCTTGACGCCATTCTCAACCTTCCTGCGCAGCTCCTCCTGAGTTGGGCCAGGGCCTATAAGAAAGGAGGCATCAGAGAATAATAGAATATTAAAACACTTTCAAGAGGTATGTAAGATCTAAGGCAATGAAATAATAATGCAGACTCAAAGGAAGACACCCTGAAGAAATTAAATGTGTTTTTTTGAAGGGATTCCGAATATTGTGCATAAATAGCCTCTCGCTATAAAACGTTCAGTTGGATTCATACATTTTTTCTTCTTTTGAACTCTGTCCTAGGGAGTTACTTTGACCTCATTAGAAAACACTTGATCACTGCTTTTGTGCATCATTTCTCTCATGTTTTTTCACACACAGAAATGTTATACCCCTTTCGAACCCAAACAATGTGGAGCATCCAAGGCGAACACACCGCACAAGCCTGTTCTGGTTTCTGTTGAGAGAAACAGAATAGAAGAGAACAGAGCGAAGAGAAGAACAGCCTCAAGCAGGAGGAGTCGGAGGTGGTGGTGCTGATGATGACTGTGAAGCATTTTCTTTTTTTTTTACTTCCTATCTCAGATACTCTCTTCACTTTTGCCACTTGCCTGTGGAAAAAAGCTTTAGGGTATTTTTAGCTTTCTTTCCCCCCGTGCAGCAAGATGGAAAAGCTGACCCTCCACTGCCCTCTATGCTCACATGTCCTTTTTTATTTTCTCCCAGCCTCTTTTCTTCTCTCTCAGTCTCTCATTTCAGCAGTGGTGGGATTCAGAATGCTCCCACTTCATTCACACATTTTCCCCATTCACCTGACAGCTTTCCTGCCCCTTTGACCACTGCTTAGAGTAGCAAGCATACTCATAATACCCTGCCCCATTGAGGATGTTGCTTGGCTATCATCATCACCAGGTTGCATCAGGTTTAACGCTGGCCTGGACTGACATCATCCCTGCAGGCAAAATAGCTCACACAAGCTGCTGATTGGATGGATGGATGGATGGATGGATGGATGGATGGATGGATGGATGGATGGATGGATGGATGGGTGGGCGTTTGGGTTGATGGATGGATAGATGGATGGGTGGGCGTTTGGGTTGATGGATGGATGGATGGATGGATGGATGGGTGGGCGTTTGGGTTGATGGATGGATGGATGGATGGATGGATGGATGGATGGGTGGGCGTTTGGGTTGATGGATGGATAGATGGGTAAAAAAATCGATGCCATCTGATAAAGGAATAATCTGAAATAAATAGCATTCCATTCCCCATTGTGTTTCATCTTATCAAATATTCATATCTAGTTGCTTATTCTAAAGGACCCTGCTAATTACCATCTCCAGTGAGTTTCTGAAAGCTGTGAATCTTCTGTTTGGCTCTGGTTAGCTGGTCCTCCAAGGAGCGGAGCCTTCCTGCTGCCAATGACCCAGCTTCTGCCTGACCCTCTGGTATCCTAGAAGGCATAAAAAGACATTGGATGGATTGGTTAACTAATAGCAGGAAAATGGGACAGAAATAGGTCAAAGAGCAAAAAAACCTTGAATATGATACCATACAGTGATGGAAAAACAAAATAAAATGTTTATATGACTTCTCAGTTATTCCCAAGGAAACTGGAGAATTTCTACAAGGCATCCACTCGCAGACTATTTTAGTCAAAAAACTTTCTTCTAATTGTCAGTTGTGACTCAGGAGGTTGGCGAAGCGGTAACAATATCCTGTGGTTCCTCTGATTCCAGCCGTCTCTTGCTTGGGTGACTCTGGTCTCATCTTTCAATTTAAAAGTTGCTGAGGAAACTTAGCTGAGGAGGCGTGCATCTCACAGTGCTCACCACCGAAACTTCTACAAATGTAATTTGCTAAAATGCCAGAGTGTGGACCCCAGAGTTGTGCCATGGTGTATTAATTTTGAGCACAAGTTTGTGCTTGGAATACAAACCAAATACATCTGCGTTGTTGGATTCAAACTATAATCATCTTCAAAATTTCTCCAAGAGGTATGTCCTGAGCATTGCGGAATATCCTGTGAACTGAATGGAAAATTACAGGGAAATGCTATGATTTGGTAAAATAAGAGGGAAATATAAAAGGCAGTTATAAATCAAGAGTAACATTTGGTTTGGAATTGAATACCAAATAAGCACTTGATTTTTACTGATTTTACTTAAAATATATTTAAAATGACTAAGACATGGCTTGATGGGCAGACTGACATCTTAGTACAGTAGCTCCAATGCATCTATAAGCCTGTGGCCTATTTTCCTGAATGGACTGTTCTGTGAATGTCACGTCAAGAGCGTCCATGTTAAATGGGTGCAACCTAGCAAATAATCCAAGAGTTGTATTCAAGATGGATTTTGTGAATACTTAGAAGCGACTGGCATCCAGCCAAACTCAGACAACAACTATAACTCCACGTAAGGTAAAGTACAAGTGCGAGCTAGGGGAATGAGCAGAAGAGTTCCGCAGTTCTGCATTTTGGTCACAGATATCATTAGAAAACTCCAAAATGCCTCATTAAAAAAATATATATGAAATGCATTACAAAAGACTTGAAATTGATTTGCATGTCACTGAAAAGAACGTCACAGTACCCCAAAAACTTCTCCCACTCTAACCCTAATACACAACACCCCAAAAATATTGTCCAACTACATTTAGCAAAGGGCTGCAACTAACGATTAATTTGCAAATCGATTCATTTTTTTTATTATTTTTTAGATTAATCGATTAATAATTGGATAGCCAAAGGTTCCTTAAAGAGGAATTTTTATGAAACTAAAACTTTTCCAACTGAGGAGTTCTGGATAGAGTATATTGAAAGATGAAAAAGTTTCTTTATCTTAAATACAAAATGTTTACATATTTTGGTATAATTACTTCTCTAAGTGGGTTGCTCTGTCAGATAAAGCACATTTCAGAGTCTCTATACTCCAGTTAACGATTAATCGATTACTAAATTATTTGACGATTATTTCAATAATGGATTAATCACGATTAATCTGATTGTTTCAGAACTAATTTAGCAGATGTGTGCCAATTGTTCAACAGATGTTCTTCTGTCTAACAAATGGTGATGAGTGATTATGTTCTCGAAGGCGAAGTTTGGGCTGGGTTGAACAATATACACATGTATGGACTTACTTACAAATCTATATACAAATGTCGTAAAATTAAGGAACTACTTGCAACACTGCACTACATTACAACTGAAGAAATCTTTGTTAAATAAAATGGTACGTTTCATGATAAGATAAGACCTAGTCATACCAAGAGACCAACAGCATTTTGGCTGGTCCTTTGTCATTAAATGGTAAAATGGTAAATGGCATGTACTTATATAGCGCCTTTATTCAAGTTAGGAGACTTGACCAAAGCGCTTTACACTACATCCATTCACCCATTCACACTCACACACTGATGGTGGCAAGCTACATTGTAGCCACAGCTGCCCTGGGGCTTACTGACAGAAGCGGGGCTGCTGTACACTGGCGCCACCTGGCCCTCTGACCACCATCAGTAGATGATGCAGGTGAAGTGTCTTGCCCAAGGACACAACGACACTGAAAGTCGGAGTCGGGGCTTAAACCGTCAATCCTTCGATTTCAGGGCAAACTCCTACATCCAACGCCACTGTGGCCCCATTTTTGTAAAACTAAGAAAAATAGAAGAAATTGTTTTGTCACAGATGCCATGAGAGAAAAAAAAAGAAACAGTGATCCAATTCTCTTAGAATGGTGACTGGATTAAACTCCAGTTATTTCACTGAGACATCTGGGATTCAAAAAAATAAAAACAAAACGAAAAAAAAGAACACACCAACTTAACCAAATGTACAAATGTGAAAAACACTTTTTCATTACTGCCTGAAAGCTTGTTTAGACAGACATTCAGTTCAATTAACCAAATGTACAGTAACAAACCATTTTGATTTGCATATTTTTTAAACTTGTCTTCAAAACTGTTGCATATTTTAAGTGTTTAGTGAATTATCTCTCTGATAAATGCAAATTCAAATTAGCATTTTTACAGCTCCATCAGTTAAGCGTGAAGAACTACCACACACACCAACTGAAAACACAAATGAGCACTTTGACATGCTTGGAGCATCAAGTTAATGTCAGTCAAGGGGGAGAAAAGTGTCACCAACATGGTATTAAAATGGCTGTTTATTTCAGCATTGTATGTACAAATACCCCTGTGCATTTGACATAATGAATCATCAAGGCATGCAAATTCAATTTGCTCCTTCAGTAAAGAACATCAGTAGCCTGCAGGCACAGAGATGAGACTTTAAAGTAGCGGTGGCCCCTCTTGTCAAAAAACTCTCCTAACTGGTTCTACTACCTGAGTATTCTACTTCAAAGCATCTAAAGGTAAAATGTTAAAAAAATGTTTAACAAATACGTCATATAAACTAGCACTGGAAAATATTCAGCTTTACTTTCCAGGAATATTACAGACAATTACTGAAATAAAATCCTGTGACATTTTCTCTGCTCTATTATCTTTTTTATCTTGTTGAGCTACTTTTTCTCCATAGGCCACACCTTAAAATGCTGGTTACACCACAGTACAGAAAGGAAGTCTCGGGTTTTAAGTGCTGCTAAAATGTTGACGTAAAACAACTTGATATCATCTTTAACAAGGCAAGAGAAATAGGCCATACCAGCAACACTTGAAAAACGATCTAGAAATAAGTCAAAAATTTGTTAAATTAAGTGTATTTGCCCTTAATTTGAGTATGTAAATGAGATAGTTTGCAAATGGAATTAGTATTTTTATTCTTAAAATAAGGAAATTGGATAACATGCACTTGAGGTAAGACAATACAATTGTTTTTTTTTTATTTTAAGTGTATAATTGTCATGTTCCATTGACAAAATGTCTCTTTTATCTCCTCAGTCCAAGAACAAATGCACTAATTTTAAGAATAAATGACTTACAGTATCTAGCTTTAGATTTTTTCCAGTGAAAGGCTAATTAGTGAGATCATATTTATAAGTTATCTAGAATACAAATTGCCAGTGGACTTGTTATATAGCACCAGTCTTTGAAAAGTCATTCAGAACAAGGTAAGTCGATATATAACATATCAAAATACTGAGCAGAATTATGACTAACGGATAAACATACGTCATAAAAGGAGAAATCAGACAAGACAGCTGTAATCAACACCATCTGCATACAATAACACAGAAAAGGTAGGAGATGAAAAGAAAACTTGAAGAAAGGAGAAGCAAAACACAAATATGTGCAGCAATGAGGCAAAGAAGACGAGTCCTGGAGACGGGGAGAGCACGTAAGGTTCAAATATTTCATCTTAGCTTAGCTGCTGAAACCGCTGGCTCCCACCTCTACCCCCTGAGTTCACAGATTTCACAAGGTGATCAGAGCCTGAGGACAAAGTTTGAACAGTGGGGGCCCGAGCGGCAAGCTGCACCTATATTCCTCTCGAAAGACTTAATACACTTCGGCTGACTTCAAAAGAAAACTTATGTGCTGACCTAAAAAGTCATACATATGTATGGAGATGTAAAGCATTCTCTAAGGTTTAGATGAAAGGAGGGTACATGGACACCCCTTGCCTTTATACAGAGAACCAACTAGCCTGTGTTTAAACAGATATATCCGTGCCTGAGTGCATTGTGATGTTCTTTGCATGTTAACTGTTGATGGAATTTCTCAGGGCTTCCTTTGGTCTCCCCACAAACCAATATACATCTAATTTGATGCGGTGTGGCTCTGCACATCCCATATTTAAATGTACATGTGAATAGCGAGGTGTTTTGCATTTGAACTGTAGTTTGGAAAACTAACTATTCCCCTTGATCTCCTAACACTGACATATGTGCAATAAGTATGTGTGTATTTGCATAGCGTATATTTAAACGGATGTAATAGTAAACCATTAAAATTCTATGTATATTCCATGTGTGTTGCTCTTCCGAAAAGGTCACAAATTCTCTTAGGTAATGAGCACTCAATTTACAAAGAATTTAAATGTGTAATCTTGTCTACATCTGTGACTTATGTCAAGAGTAAAGCATTGAATATTGATCTCTAAGCACCAGGTAATGAATCTAAGGCTTAAAATTATGGATTGTTCATCTTTTCTGCATGTAAATATCCTTTTGTAGCAGTGTGCTGTGTTGGGTTGCACTGTGAAGATCAGCTGCATCGCCAAAGGTGGTGGAAAGAATCACTGGAAAACAGCCACCCTTATGTGGGTGTGATGAGGTTGCAGCTTTAACATGAAGCCAGCATTACTAGTTCCCCTTCAAATCTCCAAAAAATTATGCCACTCTTTGGCATTTTGGCAACAAATCATACCCGAGGTCGTCAAGTTGCTTCTAGCATCGTCCTCCAGCAATAGCCACCCACCATTAAGGGTGTGCAAAATAATCGTCATGACGATGCATCGTGATTCTAATTTTTGTGATCTACTGCATC